CTCTCTCTCTCTCTCAGCATTACTATTAATACAGATCGGGAATTGCGGACACATTTGAAGACAACTCGCGCCGACTCTTCGGGCCATACCGTGACCTACAGTGCGAAGCGATACAAATGCGACAAATGTTCGCAAACCTACGGTCGCGACTGTCAGCTCAAACGGCACCAGAAGTCACGGCACGGCGTGCGGAAGCCGTACCGGTGCTCGCGTGACGGATGTGACCGCCGGTACGCCAAACAGTCGCTACTGAAAGCGCACAAATTGGCCAAACATTGGTCGCCGGACCCGCATTACCGGTGCCGATACGGTCAGTGCGAGCGGCAGTTTGTGTCGGAGCGGCTGCTGAACGATCACCGGCTCAGAGCCCACGCCGTGCACTACCCGTACCGGTGCTTACGGGAGCCGTGCGGCGGCGCAGACCCCTATGGCTATCCGACGGACGATATGCTATTTCAGCACAAGTTGTCCGCACACTATACCTGCGATTACAAGCACTGCCATCGGGCGTACGCCACACGTCAGGAGCTCAGCGAACACAGGCCAATGTGCCCGTACGGGCCCAACTTCACGAGCTCCACCACCCGGTCGTACAGGTATGCCATCGATTTGCCATTGAATATAATGGTCGCACAAATTAATGGTTTGTTTTGATGACAATAATAGGTCTACGGATAGGACTTATCGGTGTACTGTTTGCCGGGAAGGGTACGACACTCGTAGGCAACTGGACGTCCATACCTGTCAGCCCCGCAAACACCGGTCCGGACACTCCGTAACGGCCGACAGCAGCCCTGCGGACGACCCGCTGGTCAACACATCCAATAAGTATGTGAGATATGAGTGATTTTGCGGCCAAATTGTTGGTAAAACTTAATTAATTTACTTAACATTTAATGAATGAATGCAATATTTTGTTTGTTTTTACTTAAGCTTTACATATAATTGATTTAATCTTGTTTTTTAAATTATGAATTAATTAAAATGATTACTTGATTAGTATTTATATTATAATTATTGATTCAACACTTCCCAATATGGCCACCCATACATTAAACGTTTGTCAAAACTATTGTTTTTACTCACAAATAAAATAAATCTTTTTTCTACTTATTTTTTGGGTTTATATTTAGCATGTTTAATTAATTTCTGTTTTTAACCTTGTTTAATGTGTGACCTTGGTGTTTTGCCTGTAATACTGTCTTATCTAATATTAACTCTAACCATGATAAATGTTTTGTTAAGATACTAATACTTCTAATAATACTAATACAGCGACTGCACGGCCGGTGTATCGCCAGTGAAAGTCATACCTCTGGATGACATACCGGTGCCCGAAGACAACGACATACCTGTGCCCGAGAACACGACCGGCACTTTCCTTAACGACATACCGGTGTTGAGCGCTGAAACACCAGCGGATCCGTTGTCGTTACAGCCGGTACCCGACCTCTTAGGGGCGCCCATACCTACTGATAGTGTACTCACAACTGTTGTCAGCGCTGATAAATTTAACACTAATAGTATTGGCTATAAGTATGTGTTTTAATTCACATGAAATCAATTGTTTAATTATTAAATGTGTTTTTATTTCGTTAAATAGCCATACAATGAGTACTATAGAAATACAGGCGCTAAACAACATACACACTATCGACATACCGGCCCTCCCGGTGCCCGCCCTCGCAGTCAGACCATTGTTGGCTAATTATATGAACGCCAGCGTTAGCCCAATCGATATCACATATCATAAGTATATTTATAATTCACTTATAAAACACAAGTTAATTGTTTAACACTAAACACTAATAGCTCCGGCACTACTGGTCCTACACCGGTCTTACCGTCGCCTCCTATGAGTCAAGTGTTGTTTCCATGCGATGAATGCGACCAAACATTTGTGTTTCGGTCCAATCTGGCCGACCATAAGGCCTGCGCCCACCCGAGCCCTTAGTAAACGTTGGACTAAATGATTGTTTTGTCGGTTTAACGCTATGTTTATGGCATTTGTTTTTGCACTTTGATTGCTATTTATTTAACTGTTTTATTAACTGTTAAGCATTTATTTATTTATTATGATAAGTTTAATACAATAAATTGTTTTTTGTGATTACTTATTGTGGTTTAATTATAAATTTTTATTAATAAAAACAAGTATATATTTAAGAGTTTTTATTATAGAGTTATGAATAGATTAATGACTTTTCATTTTCATATATGTTTTTAAGTGTCGTTTTAAACTTACTGTTAAATACAAAGTGATTATATTTATATAAATATATAAATTATTAACTGAATAGTAATTATTTTATTATTTTGCAAAACATTTATAATTAATGTGATCTCAATTGAGACGACGTAACAAACCATTGATTAGAGTTATGAATAGATTAATGACTTTTCGTATGTGTTTTTAAGTGTCGTTTTAAACATGCTTTTTGAGTAAATCTTTTGTTGCAATCATTGACACCACAAACAAATGGTTTTTCTCCCGAATGCCTGCTTTTGTGTTTATTTAGATCGGAATTTGTATTGAATTTTTTGCCACAATTTTCTTCATTACATTTGAATTTCCTTTCATTTTATTTAGATCGGAATTTGTATTGAATTTTTTGCCACAATTTTCTTCATTACATTTGAATGTCCTTTCATTCAAATGAACACAACTTTTGTGTTGAAGTAAATTAGAATTTGTTGTAAAACTTTTGTGGCATTCATTGAAATCACACACAAATGGTTTTTCTCCCGAATGCGTCAGTTTGTGTCGAATTAGATGTTGTTTTGTATTGAATATTTTGCTACAACTTTCTTCATTACATTTGATTTTTTTGTGCTTTAAATAAATATAAATTTTAAGAAATTATTTTTATTACAAAAAAATAAAATAAAATAATAAGAATTGATTCAATGCTTACATTTTGTGGCTCATTGGGGGCCGTTTCGAGTGGCGCCGCCACCGATGTGTCCATCGATTTGTGCGATATGACAGCCGGTGTCTGGTCTCTAGCGGTGCGACAATCGGTCAACTCTTCGTCGTCGGTGTCAATGATTGGTCGGTTGCGGGCGCTCTCCCTCTCAGCCAACCGATGCCTATCGGGAGTGACAGTGTGTCCGGCGGCGGGTCTGTGGGCACTGTCTATACGCTCGTCCAGGAGGTCTCGATTGCCATCCCTTTCCCGGCAAACAGTGCGCCCATAAGTCGTATCCATAGATCTAATATTTCGGATCAAAACAAACAGACATTCATTCAATTTGTGCGCCCATTATATCCGATGACATACCTGTGCGACGACTTGGATGTCGTGGGCCGAGAGTGGGGCCGATGGCGACACCGTCGGCGGTGAGCGCGTAGCTTATCGGCCGTGTCGTACACCCGATCGCAGCGCTTGTAATGGCATCGATACGGGTAGTGTACGGCCAACTGGTGTTCACTAAGCATATCGTCCGTCTGATAGCCATTCTGGCCGTCGCACGGCTGACATAAGCACCGGTACGGATAGTCCACGGCGTGGGCTCCGAGCCGGTGATCGTTGAGCGCCCGTTCGGACACAAACCACTGCTCGCACTTTCCGTATCGGCATCGGTATCGATGGTCACGCGTGCGGTGTTTGTCTCGTATGTGTGCCGCCCGTCGAGACTCTTTGGGATACCGGCGGTCGCAACCGTCCCAATAGCACCGGTAGGGCTCGCGTACGCCGTGTTGTGACTTCTGGTGCTGTTTGAGCTCTCGGTCGCTGCCATAGGTTTGCGAGCATTCATCGCATTTGTATCGCTTCTCACTATAGGTGACGGTACGGCCCGACCCGTTGGTCGTGGTCTTAGAGGATGATGTCTTCGACAATGTAGTGTCCGGCGAATCCCCGTCCGTATCGCTGGAAAAGCTAGTGTTAAAGTGATTCATAGTTTATGGCACACAATATACTCAACCTGTGATGAGTATAAGCCGATGATATCATTGTAAGGCCAGAGAGCACAGGGAAGGGCGACACCAGTGGTGCAGTCAATAAGCTCTGCGGCGGTAACGGCGGCGGCACTGACTCATCGCTTTGGTCGCCATCGCGTGGCGTCAAACTCAGCGAACGGGTGGTGACCGACGCGATAGACGTAGATCTCGTTGTCGACGATCGGTGGCCAGTCTTTGAACGACTAGTAGTTTTAGATGCCATGCGTTTAGACACGTCTCGCAGTGAACCCTCAAATGGCGCCAACGAGTGGTCACTATCGGCGCCGGAATAGTCAGTAGTGTCCAAATCGTTGGAGTCGTCGCTGCGATACTCCGGTAAACGCTTTTTGCGGCGCCTGTAGTGCCCGCGCGCTAAGCGTCGGCCCCTTTGCGGACCGATATTCGCCGGAATCGACTCTTTGGTCACTTCTTCGCCACTATTTCTGTAATTAGTAAACAAAACACACATAAAAACAATGCAATCGTATATATAATGACATACTTGTATTCAGAGATGATTGTCGCGTCACTGTCTGTACTGCAAACTAATTGGTTATTACTGTCCACCACTTCCGCCGGTATGTCTGCCATCACTGGTTCACCACTATCTGTGTCGTCGGTATGAGTGCTCAAAGTGGCGGCCAATGACTGTAGACTCGGATCCGTTATCAGCGGCTTAACATCCATCAGTTCCTCGTCAGTGGCGGACACATTGGCGGCTGACTGCGTGATCACTGGTTGGCCAGCAATCTGTGCCACACAATCACCCGCTGCTGTGGCGCCACTATTGCCGGTAATATCGGTCGTCGAGTTGTGCGCAATGGCGTTGACATCAGGTATTATATCACTGTTTAAATCAGTCGTTGAACTAAACAAACAATCAGTAAATAACACACAAAATGACTGTCAGTTTCATTGGTATTAAGTCTTACGTATCGCCAGAAGCGCCGACCACTGGCTTAACGTCGGGATACCGTTCGGACAGCCGTTCCATCAATGAGTCAAATCGGTTGTAATAATCACTGTCTGGAAGCGATTGGTCGGCCATAAACTGATCGTCGATGGCGTCCATCAAATGACCGCTTTATTCAATACAAAAACAGTGGTCAACAAAATGAATCGGTGGTCACAACCCATGGATACCATACCTGTCATCGATGTCTGAATCCATTCAGTACTCAATACTCAATACAATTATCACTATTAAAATTGCAATCAATTTGTGAACACTTTGAGTCAAAGTTGAACTGTTTGTGTGAACTCTGTTTAGTCACTGTTTCACACAATGCATAATATGTGAGTGAACTGTGAATCCATATCATATGACTCATACAGTTCACAAACAACAGGTCAATAAATATATGGCAACTAATATTTTAGTGCCCGCACTCGCAGTCCATTAATGACCGATTATATGAACGCCAGCGTTAGCCCAATCGATATCATATATCATAAGTATATTTATAATTCACTTATAAAACACAACTTAATTGTGTTTAACACTAAACACTTACAGCACCGGCACTACTGGTCCTA